CAAAAGAAAATAAAGGTAAATATAATTTAAAAATATCATAGAAAAGAGGAAAATATTGATTTTAGAGGAATTTTATTAACTTATTCGGGATTTAATGTTCTCTAAAAAATTTAATTTAATACTGGCCACTTTAATGCTAGAAATTTATTTTGAGTATTAAAAGCACTGAACAACAATTTTAATTAACAACATTTTTTTTTAATATTCAAAATAATATAAATAAAAGTCGTAACGTAAGTCGAATGTAAGGGAAGAGTGACGAGGGAAGAGTGAAGAGAAAAGCGTAAGCGTAAGCGTAAGAGAAAAGCGTAAGAGCTTATATTTGACTTATGCTCGATTCTTTATTTTCGTCAAATAAGTAATTAATTATTATTTACTAAGTATTAAATTTTTATAAGGGATATGTATGAAATAATTTTTAGCTAATTGTATTTTGCCCCAATGTTTTACCCCAATGTTTTTAAAAGAACTAACAATATTACTATTAACATATAGGCAAAAATAAATACTTCGCAAAAAAAATTTTTTTTTATTTAAAAATTTTTATTTAATTTTTATTTAAAAATTTGATTTACTTCAATAAATTAGAAAATCAATATAAGCAAAATTTATGACATGTATTTATTAGATAATATTTATTGCATATTTGCCAAATACTAATCGCCATGACATCCAAATGATATTTTACATAAATATTTGTTATTTATTAAATCTATAAACAGATATTGAGCACTTATTTCAAAAGGCTGACTATAAACGAATTTGCTATAACCTATAACCTTAATAGCACGTGTACGTTCTGAGTATGTTCTGAGAAGATTGCAATGCGTTATTGCGATCATCTCAGAATATTCTCATACGTACTGCGATCGACTAAGTATGTTCTAAGTACATTCCTATGTCCGGGGTAACATTTTCCATTGGAATTTCGCTGCGAATATTCGCAGCGAATGATAACAGTATTAGGAAAGGATGAAAATGGGAAGTTTTCAGTAGATTATGGTTGCGTTTCGATATTGATTGCTACTATTGAAAATTTATAATATACGTGACACCTCTTACAGAAAATAAGTGAAAAAATGGAAAAATTAAAAAAAAATAAGAGAAAGTGATGAAACGTCTTTTATCTTGATACTATCGCATGTTTTTAACAACAACTACCTATCCAACTTGGGATCCTCGATGCTGCTTCACTTCTATGTTGGGATGAAATGATGATATAAGTAAATACATAATTTTGGCATAAAATATGATAGATCTGGTTAATGAATGTTACTATATTGTTGTATAAACAGTCTCAATTTTAAAATCTCAATTGCATGTAATTCTTGTAGATAATTTAATTATATATATAAAGCCATGAATACATTATGTTTAATGAGAATCATTTTTCTTATGAAAATTATTTATAAATTGTTATATATATTTTGTTTACTTGTTTATTTGTTAATAATTGTATTAAATATGCAAAATATTTTTCTTATTTATATATTATAGTTAATTAAAGAAAGTAATTAATAATGTTATTTATTTATTAAAAATGCTTAAAAATAACGATTAAATGATGATATATTTATAATATGTCTATCAAGAGACACGGGTGGTGTCTCGACGCCAAGTTCACGCGCAGCGAAGTTCGCGTAGAACGGCGGCGAGACGCTCGTGGCTCTATTTTACGCGAGACCCCGAGATAGTCTACATTTTCATATCTCTTCATGACTGCATCGATTAAGTTTTAATTATGCTTAATCAATAGCTGATCAAATTATATCAGAAAAGTATTTTTATTTTTTTTCTCCGTGTTCTACAAACTTGAGATATCGCGACGCAATCGTGATGCAAAGTTCAAATTGATAAATTTAAGAAACGTCCTGGTCGTCGTCAACCGTGATTCTCTTTTTTCTGAGAGGCGCTAATGAATGTCTCTGTATAACAGTTCTTGCAGTGCTCATTTTTTTGATTTGATATGTCTTTGACAGATGTCCTTCATGTGAAGTTGTACGTATTGATTAATAAAAAAGAAGATATAACGTTTCACATATAATACTAAGTAATATTGTAATATATGATACATTGAAGAAATAGAATAAGAAATAGAAATAGAAGTAGAATTAGAATCAATTGTATTTTTTTTTATTACGTCTTGAAACTGAATAAACATACACAATAAACATAAACATAAATAAACATAAAACATACAAAAATTAAATACGGATTAAAAGAGAGATTTGATAGAGTTATTAGCACTATTAAATTAAATAAATCAGTATTACGATTACATGTTAGCGGTAAAGGTGGTACTGAAAAAAGTTTTTTAATTAAGATTAATTAAGATTAAATGTTGGATAAAACAAAATCTTAATAAAGAAACTGCTGTAGCAGCACCTACAAGCATTTAATAGGCGGTTTGATAATTCACAGATTGTTCCAATTACCTGTTGAACATGGTCATACTCCTAAATATAAATAATTATCTGATCATGTATTGAAAGTTCTACGAGCGGATTTAAATGATGTTATACTTTTTATAATAGATGAAATATCAATGATGTCTAATTAAATTTTAATGTATATACATCTTCGATTATCCAAAATATATGACACTACTAAATGTAATGATGGCTGGTTTGGTCGAAACAAATTCTTTTATTTGGAGATCTTTTTCAATTACCTCCTGTACACGAAGATTTTGTTTCTGTTAATTTATTGAAAGAAAAGATTGATAAATATATTGGCACTTTAGGAACCATTAATTAAACGTCTAATGGATGGATAGACATTGATGATGCGTAAATTAATAAGAAAAAATGGTCTAGAGGAGCAAAAAATGTGTAATATTTTTTTTTACAAAAGATTATTAAAAAATAATGACTGAATACTAATCGTTTTTTCTAGTATATATAAAGTACAAAAATGTTTCAAATATGCTAAATAATAGATATTATTTGTTACTAAAAATTATTTGTTACTAAAAAAATGAGTGATATCCTAATAAAATTATCTTTTAAAAAAGGTAAAAAATAACACCAAGTTTACGCGCCCCTTTTCTTATTTATGTAAAAGAAAGAATTTTATACAAACATTTCCATCTACAAAAGTCTTTTTAATAATAAATTTCATATTGATA